CCGGAGGAGGGCTCCCCAGCTACATAGAGTACGCAAAGATTTCTAAGCCTTCAGAAAAAGGTTTTCAACCAATTTTCCTCTTTTTTTTTTGGTACCGGGGATCGAACTCGGGTCCTTGCGCTTGCGCAGCAGGCGGCAAAACCACTGAGCTAAATCCTCGGCCCTAATTTTTCTTATTTTAATTCCCTTCCCACTTCCACATGTAACCTGGACTTCCAATTTCTGAGCCTCTGGTGGATTTTGGGGTTTAAAATTAGGTTGCTTCTCAGCATTTAGTGGAAAGGTTTGATTTGAGTCTACTACCGTAAATCACCCAGCCATCTGATTCTCAGCTTCCAAACTTCTGTTGCTGCTGTCTCCTTCTGCATTATCCCCATTCTTTATTTTATGCCTTGAAAAGTATCTTACTGTTGTTTTTCAGGCATTCTTGAGGTACTTAAATAAGATGGATGTGCTCAACCCACTATGTTTACCCATAACATTTCAAAGCAACACGCTTATAAAGTTGGCAAAGTTTTGTGCCAAAAATAAATGTACTAGTAACAACTTCAGGTCAATAATGAGTCTACGGGATACTGCAGAACTAACAGTTAAAATGAAACTATAAAATTAAGATATCATAAGAATTACTCTTGATATTTTTGCCTCTTAGGAGAAACCATATGTAATTTTGGTTTCCACATTTAAAACACACATAGCAAAGCCCTGAAATAAAGGAATTACAGTGATTTACAAAACAGATCACCAAGCCCATGAATAAGAGTAATTTAACCTTAAGGCTAAGAGGTATATAATTGATATTATCATGTTATCAAGTATATGATTGAGTTCCTAAGAGAAATACTCTACTGTTTCCATAATGGAGTATCAAAAGAAAGTTGAAGTTATTCTAATGGGCAATTAAACATTTGATTGGATATTAGGAGAAAAAGATGAATTTGTTTGAAAATACTTAACCAATTCTGTCTGAGACAGAAGGTAGACAAGGGCCAGACAACATCTTTTCCCTGCCCAAACATAGTTTATCATCATATTATCTGCACTGTATCAGTGAGCCCATTCTCCAAGGAAGCCAAACCACTAATCTCATTTGTTAAAATGATTGCTGTGGTTTTCCTTGGAAGATGGAATATAAGTGTTTGGTTTACGTACACTTCTGTCTAAACCCTTTCATGTCCTGCCTCATTAGAAAGCACAGCTAAACAGTTTAATTGACTAAAGATCTCTGAAAACAAGAGACAAGGCAGTTAATACAGCTCTACAATTCACTTAACTGCTCAGAAACATTTTAAATTATAGAGTATTAGGGTAGGGTTCAGAAGAGGTAATCAACCTAATGATAAATGATCATTTCTGAGTGTATCTTAAAGCCGGAGGGTTTACAACTAGAATTATTTAAAATAATTTTGTTTTGCTAAAATATTTTAAAAACCCAAAATACTTATACATTCATACATTAAAGAGGAAAAATTATACTGTATTTGTGTTTAGATATTGCAGGTATTGAAAGGTATATTTCAATAAAGAAAAACGATACTGAAATACATAGCTTCTTTCAAGTGCGAACCCCAATTATACAATTTCAAAATATGATCATTTAATCTTATACTGTAAAATATCCAATTTATAATTTAAAATTTACCTTCAATCAAAACTATATGACTGGAATGAAATGTATTGCCATCAACCAGATATCCCCAGTAGTTTGAGGTGATAGTTGTACAGAGGGCCGGTGATTTCCTGTCATGCCTTGGAATTAGCATCCACGAGAGCGCATCCTCTCTCAATCTGCAGCAGGGGTGTTAGTTCTGCACCTACCGCATGCTCCCCTGCTGCTGGCTTTGTGATTTCAGGCTATGAGTGTAGAAATCGCTCTTTGGATGGCATCGCTAATGCTCAGCATCTGCTGAGTCTTCTCCCTTGATTATGCTGTACAGGAAAACTCTTTTTCATCAGCAACTTTAAGGGGCTATGTTCTTTTAAGGTTTTTTTATTGAAAGCCCATAGGAAACAAGTTTTATCCAGAATTTACTTTTTACCAAAAAAATTTGTAAACAAATACATGTTCAGATGAAACATGCTTTTGTGTTTCAACTAAAGAAATTAAAGTGAACAAACTGAAGAAAATTCAAATGACTCTTTAGAAGACCTGCAGGATTGAGCCTTCGCTTGTTTGAACCAATTTGCAGTATGTTGCTGTCATTTCGTCTATACTTAGAAACATTGCTTTCATTAATAAAAGTATTTTTGAAGTTTTTTCTAAACCAAATCCAGACTGAATTTTTTACCTTTAAGACTTATTACATATTCCATGCATCCTTGAAAAATTATGTCACTTTTACAAATAAAATCATTTGAATTACTAAGAGAATTTGCTTTATGAAGAAAAAGAAACAACGTGGTTAATAAGAATGTCTCCTCCAGCTTTCTATTGTAAATCTAGTTTTCCATATACTAGATTTTAAATGTGATGTACACAAAATATAAACAAAGTTTAAATAAAGTCCAATGATAAAGTGTATGTCTAGAGTTTGAATAATTTTACCAAAATTAATTTCAAAGATTGATATAATATGGAATATGCTTTTGAGGTAATATTTAAAATAAGAAAAATTAAATAATAAGTATAATTCTAGAGTATTCAAAAATGTAATTCTGAGAAGGAATATATTATAATTATATTTTCTAATACAGTCTTACTATGTTGTCTCAGACTTTTTCCTAATCTGTAAAAGATAACCAGTGGATCTTTGTAGTAAATGAGGCTTATTAAAAACATGGATAGCAGTACTTCTTTAAATGATAATCTCTCCATGATTCTTAAAGAGCAGTTAATACAGAAAGTATAAAATCCCCAATGCAAGGTACTGCTTATAAAACTGTCTAGTCGGGCTAGGGATTTAGCTCAGTGGTTCTGCTGCCTGCCTCGAAAATCCAAGGACCCAAGTTCGATCCCCGGTACCAAAAAAGAAAAAAGAACTGTCTAGGTAATTGAATTAATAATGTATGTTTATAAATTTTTTTAATTCTTATTTACATTTTCATATTTATATTCCTTGAACTTCCTCATTTTCCAGGTCCTTTAAATTTCATGAGTATAACAACTTTCCACGCTTTATTCAGTTTCATCTAAAAGCTGTGATGTTGATGGCTAAGTGGCAATGGTTCCACCCGCTGTGCTATGCCAGCTACAGAGGAACTTCCATGGCCTAAGGGCTGAGCTGATTCTGGAAAGCCAGAGCCTGCTTCCTCCCTGTACTTCCTCCAGGACCCAGACAGTCAGGCTCCGGGCAGTGTGGCCAGTGAGGACGACGGCAGGTTCCTTGAGAAAGCACCCTTGTTGATTTAGGAAGTACTAAATTGATAAAGGCTGCACCACTGAATGCTTACAAAACACTTGGGTTCATGTATCGATATTTTTAAGTGTCCTGAATAATTCATCATTTTCCCATAACTCATACATTCTTAGTTTCAGTGATTGCTTAGGGTTCACAGAAATGTATAGAGCATTTTGTTTTCAATGTCTGCAATTGGAATTGAGAGGAGATGCTGATTGGCCCCAATGCTGAATTTTCTTCTCTAACCAAATTAGGCATCTTTCCTACTAAAACCCTGACTAACGGAAGGACTCAGTAACTAAAAATCTAACCACGAAATAACCAAACAGTGAGGGTAAGATGTCTTCTTTTAAAAGTAAAAATTAGTTAATGACAAACAGTGATTTGCCCATTATAGAACTTAAATAACATCATAATGAAGCCAGTGACTATCTTTTGCCACTAGTATTGGAGATTGAACCCAAAGCCTTCACACTGAGCTACATCTTCAGCCCTTTTAAAGTATTTTTTTAAATTTTTGAGACAGTGTCTAAGTTGGCCAAGCTGGGCTCAAACTTGCCATCCTGTCTCAGCTTCCCAGAGTGCTGGGATTGCAGGCATGTACCATGACTGTCTTTTCAATAAATAAACCTATTAATAATGCAATTTTGCCCAGGTACAACAACCTTCAGTACTATGAGTTGTCTATTATTGCATTAAAAATACTTAGAAAATTTAGAGGCTTAAAACAATAAATATTCATCATCTCACATTTTCTGTGGCTTGAGGTTGAAGGGCAACTTAGTCCTGAGTCCAGGTGCAGAGTGAGGTTAATCGGGTGTTACTCAGGGCTGCAGGTATCTACAGGCCTCCAACAACACATGGCTGTGGGCATGGGGCATCTGGAATGCTCTCTCCACGTGATAGCTGGCCTCCTCCGTAGTGAGCAGTCTGAAAGGGCGAGTAGAAAGCCGTGGTGTATTTTATTACCTATTCTCTCTAGTTCCATCTCAGTTCTGCTTTTCTTTTATTGACAAATGAAAAGTCCAGCCCTCACTCAAAAATGGAGGAAATGAGGCAGGTGTGGCTGCACACACCTCTACCACCAGCACTTTCAGAGGCTGAGGCAGGAGGGTCACAAGTTTGGGTCTTGTCTGGGCAATTTAGGGACACTCTGCCTTAAAAACAGGCTAAGGGATGTAGCTCAGAGGTAGAGTGACCTGGATTCCACCCCCAGTACCCCCCAAAATTAAATAGACCCCAACCTTGGGAGTGTTAATGAACTTGTGAACATAATTTAAGTTGCCATACATTCACAGCACTGATGGGAAGGGTCTTAAAGTCATTAAACCCGTTTTGGCATGTGACCCTAAATTCTTCTCACAAGTCATAAGGGGAAGTTAATTCAATGTCAGACTAGCTCTCCATTTACTAGACTGGTACATCTCAAGAGCACTGGAGACTCTCAGGCCCTCTAAGCAACATAGCTGTCCTGCATCTATTCCAACAAGTTGTGCAATTGGTGTTATGTGTCTCATCCAAAAAACAACATTCAGACTAGTTGTAAATGGGATGTGCTTGAATTGAAACTAATTTTTTAACTTTTTATTAAAAAATCGTCAAAATTCTGACATAAAAATATTTCCAGTCCAGAGAATTTTTTTTTTTCTTCCATAAATGAAGAGCGGATGGCTGTGTTTCTGTCCCAGCTCAAGCTGCCGGCAGCAATGTTGGCGGCCCAAGCTCATGGGCGGCCTGGTCCACCAGGGAAGGATGGATTGCCCGGGCCACCAGGAGACCCCGGACCCCAAGGTAAGTCCCTCTAGGGGAAGATTTGTTTACTAGTGCTTTTAGCCCTCAGCATTTGCGACATGCTAATTACAGCTAAGACAATATATATGTAATGTATGAAAAATGATTACTATGGAATATCTTGCTAATATTTAATTTTCTAAAAGCAGATATTTAATTATACAAATTTAAAACTGGTGACCTGCTACTTGAAATGCATTTTAGTATTTAGTATGGAAAAAACAGCAGTAAAGTTTGCTTCTATATCATTATCTGGGAAATCCTAGCGTTGTCTATGTCTCCTTTTACTGCTATGCCATAAACTTATTTTAGAAAAGTGTCTTAGATACTAAATTATTCAGGTCTAAAGTATATTTTGGAGAAAATTTAGAATCCTTCCATGTTAGTAGAGCTTGTAGATAGTAACTTTTGAACTTGAATTCCTCATATGGCTTCTAAAGGTATTAAAGCCAAATTTTATTTATATCGGCAAGAAAAAATTTCACTAGTGACAAGAGAAGTGAGCTCAAATTTGACTACTTAGTAGAAATATGGTTAGCAATAAGTAAAATTGCCAAGAAGGCCTTGGTTTAGAAAATTCATAAATTCTGATAAGGAAATAGCAATTTAGAGCAGATAGCACAAACAATTAAAAAGGAAAATACACCAGGGCCAGGGATTTAGCTCAGTGGTTTCACTGCCTGCCTCACAAGTGCAAGGACCCGAGTTCGATCACTGGTACCAAAATTAAAAAATAAATAAATAAAAATACACCGAGAAACTGCCTGTGTCAAAACTATTCCTAGGAATTCAGGCAAGGGCACAGGGGCTGTTACTTTGGTCAATTTGCTTTAAATTCTGCTCCGGAATCCATTTTCAGGTTCCATATACTCAGAATTAGCCCCAGCAGGTTCCGCAAGGAAGCCTGCACACTCCCCTCTGGTACACCGTAAGTAGACACACAAAAGCAGCCACTAGCAAACCAGTTTCCAGACATGGCCTGGTGGCCAGAGTGCACCCGAGGCAGGAGAGGGAAGCTTTAGAGAGAATGCAAGAGTTCTCAGCGGTGCACACCCAGTGCTCTGATGGACTCACCAGACAGAGGCAGCAGGCAGCATCAGACGGGAAGAGGGTGACCCAAGACCTGGGGACCCCTCCAGGAGGTTGTCCCTCTGGGGTGGCGAGCCAGAGCAGAGCCTCCATTCCTGACTGCTCCAAACAGAAGCCTGTTAGTGAAAAGGGCAGGCAGTGCTAGCGAGCTGGCTGATCAGAAGATGAGGACCACCTGGTCCTAGAAGGCTACCTGGCTAGGAGGCTGATTGAGGGGCCCTTTACCCAGGAGATGGCAGAGGGAGAGACTTAAGGCCAAATGAGGCACATCTGATCCTAACACCTAGCCACAAGGTGCTTTCCAGTTCTCCTATTCTTGTCACTGTTAGGTTGTCCTTGTGCAGCTCCTGACATAGTCTACAGCTGGACAGCTAGAGGGAGTGGCTTCCCCGAGGGCCACTTGCTGATTACCAAACTTGAGGTAATGAAGGAAAACACACGCCACCTGTTTATCATGGAAGACGAGGGTCAGCTGAGGCTAAATAGGGAGTTGGGCACAAGACCTGGCCTCAGTCCTCAGCTTCAAAATCACTCTAGTCTTTGTTAAACAGATACTCTGGTCCACGTTCTCTTAGATCATAAGGATGTTTGACAGAGTTGAAGGAATGAAGGAATGCAGATTGGGTACCTCCTGTGCGTGTACCATAGTGTACAGGCTGGTAATTATTTTTTACTGGTTGGGTCTGTTCCGAAGACAGCATATGAGGAAGGGAACAAAGACCTTGAAAGCCCATCTGTGATGCCTCAAACCACATGACAAATAAGTACTGTTGATACCAGTGGGAGAAGCATTTTGAACAGATCCTTCAAACATTGTTGACTCTAGAGAACAAAACAGTGGAAAATTGGGATGATTGAGGAAAACAGCTCTCACACTCTGACCTGGCTCCAGGCACCTCCCAGGTGTTGGGAAAGCTGGTCTGGAAGGCTCTGGGCTCACCTTGGTTGCATTATTCCCAGAGAGATGACTGTTGATGTCTTATTGAATTCAGAAGCATTTTCAGAGGGTTTTATTTCAGCCATTCTAGAGGGTTCTGAGCTTTGTCTCCTGCGGTGCACTGAGAGAAGACTTTCCCTGGTGTTCTTGGTTCACACTGTGGGTCTGCAGTACAAGCCCACCTCCTGGTGTCCCAAGGGAGAGCACATGCTCCACCAGGACCACGGTGGCCAGAAAAACATCATCCACCTGGGCTCTCCTCTGTAAATAGGAGAGGCAGATTTTTCCACCAGACCTTACCTTCTTGGTTGAGTTGAGAAGGAGCTTTAAACTTTTTCAAAACACAACTGGTTCTCCACCACTGTGAACCTTTGGGAATAGATTCCACACTTGAAAGCTCTATTTATGTCTGGAGGCACCCCCAATAGGGTTAATAGAAAAAACAAAGAGAAATGATGCACCTACTCCATGTGCCCACATCAGTTTTTAAAGGACAATTTTGGGAGTAGGTGTTCCTACTTTTTAATTTGAAGCTCAGCTGTTCCTGGCTTATAATGAGGGAAAGCCATCTGTTGTTTGTAATCCACTGGCCCACAGGGTAGTTCATGTGACCGATATAGATGGGACCTTTCAAATCTGTTAGCAGTGGCCTCTTTGGAAATGGGAGGGAGGGGGAGGGAGTGAAGCCCACGGGACTGAAGGCTCCGCTGCAATTCGTACAGTGCAGTGTATAAGCCAGAACCAGGCTGAGCAACTTGGGAGGCAAGAGGCAAGCCCTGCACAGGAGACTTGTTCCTTCCCACTTGTTCCTTCATTTGGCCCCATTTGTCCAATGTACTTGTAGTTGTACAAATGTACAATTTTAGAAGTAAATTTTCCTGCTAGAAAAACACAGTCTACCCCAGAGAGATTACACCGAGCCCCACATCTCATTGTTGATGGCACCCAGATATGTCTGATGGTGCTGATCCAGCTCTGCTGTCCAGCATAAGCTGCTGTGATGTCCAGCTCCTACCCTGTGCACTTAGAGGCTATGGAATACACCTCTGCTTGCAGAGAGGGAGGTCAGTCTCCTCCAAATGAAAAGATACCTGCCCTACAGAAGTGTAAAGCTACATTCTAGAAAAGGAGAGCATTCCTATCTGGAGTTTTGTTACGATGGAATTATAAAAGAAGACCCTATGGCTTTATAGCAGTCCTAATTAATGAGTGTGGAACCTTATTGGAAAATTCAAGAGTAGAAAGATCTCCTGTGTGTGTCTGTAGTTCATTTCTTTTAGCTATTGGTAACAGGTAGTTATTAATCTAATAAATGGGAAATTTGTACAAAGAAATTGTTATATTTGACAGGAGATGTGACCTTCTCATACAAATATACAAGTTACTGTTTCTTGTCGCATGATACTATATGAATTGAAATCGATGTGGAATAATACATTTTGGCATATATTAAAATCTGCGAACTGATTTCCAGCAAATAGATTTTTTATATGTATTCTTCACTTGGAATTATGTTATTGTGTTGTTAATCCTCTTATTTTTCAAAAGTTACACATCTTTATTTATTTTTCTTTCTTCCTCATTTAAGCCTATTATACTTAGCCTTAGTACTTACTGAGTTAGCTTGAGGGTCAACTTTACAATCTTTGTGTAACAGTAAGACCTGGGTTGAGCTATCCAATAAACCTCAGGTAATAAATGCTATTTTACTCCAGAAATGTTTAAATGGTGGATTTGGAAGAGTGGTTTCAAGTGACCATAGGTATGAACATCTTTCTTTGTTGCTCATATATGTTACATAAAAGGCACTTATATCAAGGAAATCCTGGAGATGCTTTAAATATGGATACACATGTTCAAGCCACTTTCTCTGATCTAGGACTGCTGAACATTGTGAACATAGTTTTCAGATATGAATGTGTGAAGATGTCCAGCTCAATATATTTCCAATATATACTCCACCATATTTCTGCATCATATGTGTTTTTTTCCAGTATTTTCACTTTTATAGTCAGATCGCATCTCTAACACAAAGAAATCACAATGTGGTGATTGCATGTCTAATGGGATTCAGACAATGATGTGTACTGTGTGGTCAGGTCAGAACTGAGAGTGGTAACCCCAAAACGGGGTTGACTCTTCACAGCAGCGAGAATTAATTTGTCATAATGCTGCATTAAATTTCCTCCTGCTGTCATGCTCTGCCATTTTGTTATTAAATTATTAAAGAAAAACTCCATGAGTTTTTTCCTACTATACTCTGACATTTAGTGGTGAGATGCCATCCCTGAATCCATTCAATTTTTAATTCACAAGAAACCTTTCATTTTCCTCCCTGAATAATTGTATGTTTTGTTTTTATCCTTTAAGATGCTATATACATTACTATAACAAAAACAAACTGGCTTGTTGAAACATAAAGTTGCTCTTTTCATTTTTTGGAAAAGGTATATTATTATTATTATAGTCAGTCATTGGAACAAAGACCTGACCCTTAGGATGAGCTGATGCATGTATGTTCATACTCTTGCTGTCACTGATTGAATATCACCAGCTGTTTGTTGCTACTTTCTTGGGCTAAGGTCCAGATTCTTATATTACCCTGCCCTAATATTGACCAGGGCCCTCTCTGCATTCTTCTTTTATTTATCCCATACGTGGGCTCTGGTCAGAATTCCTGTTGAAGGAGGTTCACACACCTTATCAGAGCTGTTTGAAAGAAGATATGATCAATTTGAGTTATTTAGATAACATTTTCAGTGCCAAAAGTCTCACTATCAAAAGTTGGACTAGTTGGGACTTTTTTATATTAGCTGCACATTTTTAAGATCCTCATTGCCTAATCTGACATGTAAGTTCAAAGTGTGGTTAATGCAAAACAGATAGCTAATATATGATTTATGCTAAGTAAAGAAATTACATAAACATCATAGATTCGGAAAATAGCCAAAATGTGTTGCATTGCCATAGACCATTCTCACCTACTCTCTCTTTTGAATCTCTCAGGGTACCGAGGACAGAAAGGAGAAAGAGGGGAACCTGGAATTGGGCTACCAGGGAGCCCAGGCCTTCCTGGGACTTCAGGTAATAATGACACTGTCATTGCAACACAAGGCTCAAAATGGGACCCGTCTTCCCATTTTGGAAATGGGAAATGGTGGCTGGAGGGAAAGAGGTTGCCATGCATGCTCTGTATTCTGATACGATGTTTTATTTCATTTGCACTAGGCTCCCCGGGCGCCCCGGGGCCCCAGGGCCCCCCTGGACCCAGTGGAAGATGTAATCCCGAGGACTGCCTGCACCCTGTGTCCCATGCCCATCAGCAGACAGGTGGAAAGTGAACACACATGAGGACGTCTTGCTCCCTGGCCACACCTCCTTGCCACTGGGGCAAACTTGGTTCCGTGAAACTCTCATATTTGTGAGCTGCTTTGTTGTTCTTTTTCCTGGTGCAAGCTAGACATTAAAAGCAACAATTTGGATCCTGACCCTAATAATAATTTCACATCAGTAGTTGTAGATTTTTCCAAATTTATTCTGTATGTTTCCCTTTATCATTTCTATGATTTTTATTCAGAGTTTTATATGAAACATGCAAACAAATCTTGTGATTAGTTCTTCAAAGAGAAAGTATATCATAGTTTTTTGGCAGATTGCTGATGATGTACGTTTGGCAGACTCATCAACATGTGGTTGACTTTGGCCTTCGGGATTTTAAAGCTCAGACTTACAGTAAAATTTCCTTAGTGCTTAAACTTACTATCATTTTCAACAATTTTGTCAGCTTTTTTCAGATAGTGCATTGCTCCTGTTGAGTTTTTGACTGCTTTTTAAGACAAGAATTTTCATGTCATCCTACATCCTACTTATGCAGAAAAATATATAGGCAATAAGAACTTCATTTCATGCTGCGCAAGTGCAAGGACCCGAGTTCGATCCCCGGTACCAAAAAAAAAAAAAAAAGAACTTCATTTCATAACTTAGGTTTTGGAAATAATACAGGTTTATTTCATCAGGAAGCCCCAAAACTCACCGTAGCCAATAAAAAGATGATTTTGTAATTCTTTATAATGAGCTCAAGGCAAAGCAATCCCCACTGGCATAAATACATACACCATGAGGGGGAAAAGGAGCGAATTCGGATTGTTTAGGAGTTCCACAAGAAAACCTAATATTCTGGTCTCTTTGGTGACTTTCTCCTTTGATGAGCAAATGAAAGCTGTTTTCCCTAAGAGCTGTTTAGTGGTGATAGCATGGAACTGTTCTTCAGCACTCATGAAGCCTAAATAGCCTGGCAAGACAGTTGGGCCCCCACAGCCATATTCTTCTGACCTCATGACCTTCGGACTTCAAGACAAGAACTGACCATCAAGGGCCGGGGATTTAGCTCAGTGGCATTGCACCTACCTGGCAAGCACAAGGACCTTAGTTCAATCCCCGGTACTGGAAAACAAAAAAACAAACAAAAGAACTGGCCATCAGAACAAAAGACGGGATGTGTAATGACTGGAAAAGCAACCTATTTGCCTCAAAGATGAATGTGTGGGATCAGCAAACACTTATCTCGAAGGTGAAGCCCCACAGCTCCTATGGAGAAGTTTCCTCAAAGACCTCAGGCCACACAGGCCATTAGCAGTCAACACAGGAGCTACCACTCGCTTCCACACTTGCCCTTGGAAAGGAAACAGAGTCACTGCATAGTGTGTTAATGCCTGCCTATACATCATCTGGAGAAATTTGGGTTGAAAGCCACTGACCAGCTAGCACACCGGCATGAGGATGCTGCTGAGGTCCAGCTGGAGGGTCCCACGGGTGCTGAGAGCATCGCCACAAGAGGCCTCCATCTCTGCGCTTGGTTCACACCTCTCCAAAGAGCACCATGGGTTAGCAGTTAGCAAACGTATAGCAGGACGATTGCTTTTGTCTGTGAATTGAAAACTGCATCTAAGCAAAGCAAGCCCACTGAAATTGGAAAAAGCTGTGAATAGAGCTATGCCTGGGATGGGCGCCTAAATTAAGGCAGGGTTTGTTTAAATGCACCCATGATTTGAACTGGTTTTCATTACAGATGAGTGGACTGCTGGTCAGGTACTGTCGACATGGCTGTGCATACGTACAACCTTTGTTATTTCATATCAAATTGTGCTGTGTATTTTAATTCCACATTTATTTATTTTATTTTCCAAGGTTATTTGAACTGTTTTTAACTTTGATTTTCTTCACTTTTTTCCTGTGCAGTAGCTACAATGGTGCTGTGTTTTAAACTTTACATAATTGGAATATACATATGTGTTTTTGCATATGTGTTTTCTTAGTAAAATGATACTTTATGCCCAAAAATGTACATAGATTTAAAATCTGGTGCTATGTGTATATCTTGAGATTTTAATTTGTTGGATTTTCTGAAAGATTACAACTTATCTGACACATTAATTTACTTGAATTTGTCATAAAGTTAAACATTTTCATGTTTGCAAAGATTATTTTTCAATATTAATAAGTTGTTTATTCTTTTGCTTCTTGGCTAAATCAAAAATATTTATTTTATTATCTTAGTGTTTTCATTGACTTTTGCTGATAGTGATCGATTTATTTTTTTAGTTGATATGTTATACAAAACGATGCAGTTCATTTTCTTGTTTTACAAATTTTGTTCATTTTAATTCTACAGAATATGCCATGTATCCTTTCATACAAATTTTATAGTTTGGGATCTTTCTTTTTTTAAATTCCATGAATGCTTAACTGTTTATTCCTGTTTTAAGGGTTTAGATTTATTTTGATGATTTCAACAGGGAGGAGGTAAAATATGTTACATCATGCATCTTACAAAGTGGAACTGTCACAGTGATTCAGTCTCATCTTTTGTAACTGGCACACATGACTAAATGTGACTTAACGAGGAAAACAGGGCTGTGTCCACGTCCCTCTCACCCTACTGTTATCATTTGCCTTCACACTTTGTCCTGCCCCAGTTCTATTCACACAATGGGCTACAAGAAACACTGGGCCCAGCTAATGCAACACCAAATGAAGTGGAGATTTGACCGGCACCCAATTCCTTTAATAAAAAGAAAGTAGATCATTTGAGCCCCAAAGTAGGGTGGGAAATTTTCCTCTGAATAACGATGGTCGCCAATTCTCTTGTACCATTTTGTTCCATTCCAAAACATTTGTTTACCCTCAAATAATGTCAGTCATGTCCACAAAAGGGAAGAAGAATTATTTTCTCTCATTTCCACAGACAAGATAAATTTTTAAATATAAAATAATTATGGGCCATGATGACAATATTAGAACTGGTCTTTTTTCCATTTACAAGTACATTGGAATCCAGTCTTAAATTTTATACCAAGATCAATTTACACTTTTAGATAGAAATATTCCTACATAAAGAGTAAGGTTTAACTTTAATGATTTGTGGCCTTTGGGATGTAAAGAAAAAAGGAAGAATGAAGCATGCATTTACTCATTGTTCTGAAGACATTAGCTGTTATTTCTGACTGTAACACAACACAGCCAGTCTTAACTTTTCAAAGTCCACACTTTGACCAGAGTAATTTAGTGTGACTTTAAAGTAGTGCTATATATTTATTTCCATATTTCATGACATTGCTGAAATTTTAAAATTTTAGCCACTTCATAAAGCTTCACTAATTATTTCAAGATATGTCATCTATAAAAATTGACATTTGATGTTTGGCTTATGAAGTAATTCTTTATGACTGTGTTTTAGGCATTCATAAGATTTAGCTTTTCTGCAGTCTCTCCCATCCGTTGGGAACCCATGAAATACCTCCTTTAATCCACAAGGTGGTACTAAGACTCTGTGACTTGAGTGGACTCTCAGAACTGCAGGCTAAGAAAGGTTTAGTGGACATCAACATCAGACCTTTCCCTTGTACCTTTTTTTTTTAACTTTTGTAAATAACTTTATTTATGTTTTATTAATGTATATTTTTCCTAATTTAAGCATCTTTATGAAACAGGCACAATAGCCTTTGGTTTGTTGACTGTTTCAATTTTATTTCTTCAGTGTATATATACTTAAATACCTAGTTAGTGTGCAAATTTACCATGTTACTTTTGTATACCACCCTCATATTTTAGTGATTAATATGAAAATATCTAGTTATCCTACATTTTAGACAGGAAAAATATTCTCTTCACAGACAAGTTAAAAGTATTTAGCTTATTACAAGAAGTAAACAATTTATAAATAATACAATGTCTACACTCCATATTGTTCAACACTTAGTTTTGCAATTAGACCTGTATAATGCTTATATTTTTCTATGTCACTATTTACAAAAGATAGGGACACTGTTTTTCAGAATACCATTGTGCTCCTAAATTGTTATTAATATCCCGAGACTGAGAATTCTGCAACTGAGAGATATGCAGTTGTTTCAGTGAATCCTCAGACCAGTTCTGCGGATTTGTTCCTTGACTTTGTTCTCCTTTTTCCCAGTTCTCTGTACCACCTTCTTAAGACACACCGTGTCTCCTGTGGTGGTTCCCAGGGCCATTTCTTAATGCTTTAGAGTATTACCTTGTGTTGAGGCACACACTCCCCCTTTCTATCTCTCCTCTCCCAGAGATTACCCAGGTTTCTAAGAGCAAGAGATGCACAAAGGAATTCTTGACTAGTATCTTTCATGTCCGTGCACTTCAAAGGGACTTAGCCCATTGAATTCTGTTCCTTTATTAGTTGGCTGATAAAAGAAGTCTTAGCTACATTAAATTTGTTCAGATATTAAGGGTCTCCAGAAACAGGAAGAATGGTCTTTTTCATTCTTATTTTCTGATATAGCTGGAGCTATAATCTGAACATCTCACTACAGAAAAGCATGCCAGAGTAACTGGTCAGCTGAGTTTGGTTAAACCCAATGAAGCACCAGGTGATCACAGAGCTAATGCATTCAGGCAAGCAGACTAACATGGAAAAACAATTTACCTAAAAGATAAGATTGTAAGACCCAAGCTAAGTCTAAGAAAAGCTAAATGGAATAAAATTTCAAGTTCAAATTCAACAGAGAATGACATGGTGCAGGTCAAGGAATTTGTCAAAAGTGATTAATAAAGTGGGAGGTCTTGCTAAACTTAGGGGTGGTTATGTAAGATTTAAATGTAATGGAAATGTGTGTGTTACTTGACCATAATAAGCTTAGGAATGTAAAATACTAGCTATTTTGCAACTTTTTATTTTGCTGAGTTAAAGAATATTTTGGAGATATTTTTAGCATGTCTATGTATTTGAATTTGGATTGTATTATGGCATATTTTATAACTATTTATTTGTAAAATAATGTGGGATATATTCTCCTCCAGTTTGTTCATTCTATATCTTACCTCATCAAACTCTTTCAAGTTTAATTCACTGTACTCATGTTAAGTGGAATGGCATGCATTTTATTCTAAATCCCAAGTGGATAAAATACTTTGAGGCCTTGATTCTTATATCTTTTATTATGCATAATGAGCTTGTTGCCTATCTCAGCAATAAAAGATTTGACTCTAAATCAGGGAATTCTAAGGTGCGGTTATTAATGCCATATCTACTCTTCCCCACTTCTTGTGGCTGAAGCTCGACATTTCAGTTCCATTCTACTAGGTCTCAACCAAGATAAAGCCCAAGCATTCTCGTACAAGGATCAGCCACAGGCATGGGTAAGCAGAACTGGTCTCCTGCTGGGGTCACTTGCAGACCATGGTGGTAATTATGGTTTTCTTTGTCACATAAACCATTAGTTTGTAGTAATTAAATTTATCACCTGTTTCTCTAGTTGCTCATAATACACCTAGTCTAATGATTTCAGGTAAGAATTTTAAGCAGAAACAAAAATCAGAGTGGGCAGTCTTTTGAGATGTTTGCCACTCAAATGAGGGCCTCACTAAAATCATTTGAGACTCGTTGATGTAAAGGTCCCTGTGTGAGATTAGAAATATCACAATTAACTTTTCTCAGAAGCCAGGCTCTTAAATCATTGATAAGCTAGGCCCACAGGTACTTAAAATGCATAGCACATTTTCTTAACAGAAATTCATTACATCAAAACATGCCAGTGGATTTCCACGTTTATTTAAACTGGATGATGACTTACATAGTTTTTGACTATTATCTTCAGATCCCCTTATGATAAATCAGCTAGATGCTCTCTAAGGAAAGTTGTCTTTCCACACGCAAATTTTCAACTTGGTGGCCAAAGACAAATTAAAATAAATCTCAAAAATAAAGTTGAGGAAATGAGCAAATTTCCCTCATTTTTCCTCTCTCCAGTTATTCTTTGATAAATTGGAGTCACAGGAAAGATTTGAAGGCATGTTAAACAGAAAATTAGTATGAACTGCCAGATATTAAGATGAAAAATAATCAGTTAACATCTTCTTCCTGATAACCAGACCTCTCAGGTATGACACTGCCTTGATCGTTAAATAGCATCTGAGCATGTGTATTTATAAACAACATTACAGTTAGTCAATTTGGATTTAATATTTAGTATTCACTGAGCCCCATGTACTTCATACTGCCATATCCAATATCACAAGTTCAAGAAAGAACACTAAATACACAACAGTAGAGAACCTTACCATATGAAAGAGAGCTTGGCCTATGTTTTCCTAACCCAAATAATCTTTTTAAAAATAAATTTAGAATCATTTCTGTGCTCAAATCATCCATTGCTTATTTGTCAACAAGGTAAATAATGTGCTAGCATTTTTTTCTCAATACTGTTTCTTCACTCTTTTTGCCAATGCTACCAACAAATGCTTAAAAGTAATTTTCTTGATATTTGAAATGATTTTACATATCTCTAGTGATTTTCCACCCATTCTGGTTTATTTTTAAACTTGGAGATTTTTGTACCTCCTAACGCCATAATAGCCCAAAACAAATACATAATTACAGGAGATCTTCTAAAGCAGGGATTTACATTAATTAAGCTCCTTTCAGGATCCAAGTAACCAGATCTCACTAGTGATATTTAAGAATAGCAGTAACAGTTTAGCCAGCTTGAAATGTAAAATATTTCAAGCCAGTCATCTAAACCTATGTGACTACTCTTTCATCTTATTCTGTCAGACAGAAAGACAACTGTCCAAAACCATGTCAGTAATTTTGTGTGCTCAGTCAGGCTGGGAAGTGATTTCCATAGTTCTTTGCCAACCTGTCAGATATTTGGGATGAAAATCATATCATATTGCCATAAAAGCATCAACTAGAAATAAATCAGAAATCATTTGCTCTTGATGAATATGCTAGTTTCTAACCAACTTTAATTATTTACACATTCCTCTCTTCACAAGTGTTCTGACACTTAATCCAACTTTTAAAAAATCAGTCAAGGAGGATTGGAGACTTCATTTTGCTAGAGACATACTTGGTCGAATTTAATAGTTTTCGGTACTCTTTAATGGAGATTTGCTGGGCACTTTTCTTTGCAATTTCCTATTCAAGTATTTAGTGCTTCTGTAAGCCATTTTACTTAACTGAAATTTATAGTGGGCTGTTCCCACCATTTGAATGTGCTAGTTTTACATAATCTATTTGTAAGTGGTTGTTTCCAGTGTTACTGTATTCGTGGAGCTTGTTATACAGCCTTGATATATATCAGATTTGTAAAACGGTTGAGTGAACTGTTCTTTGAAACTTTATTTTTTTTAATTTTCTTATGAATATATTATAGAACTGAGAAACATGTTTGATTATCTGATTTTTTCTTTGTTGTATTTGATTATGTCACTCCAATTCAAATAAAAGCATTTTGGTGAAGACATAATTACTTTTAGCTTTTTGGATTACATATCACAGCTCCTGAAAAAGTATACCATCTTTGTAAAGTCTGTCTTAAGAAACTATACCAGATACTTATAATTCCAAAAATTATCTTCCAGGCAGGAGGAAGAACATTCTTTCAGCCTGTGTAAATGACATTGATATATGGAGCCCAGTTGGAATCTTTCTTTTGAAACACAATTCATGCTAGAAGCATAAGGGCTGTAAACAATATGAAAGAAATTCAAATACAGATCACATAATGATTGATTTATCAAACAAGTCAGGCTAGAATTTTAAATATACAGAAAGTATGTATGAGGAAATTTTTCTTTTGTACCAGGGATGAAACTTGGATCCTTGTGCTTTTGAGGCAGGCAGCAGAACCACTGAGCTAAAACTCTGGCCCTATATGAGGAAATTGATATAAAAATCCTACTAGGGCTTTACCCTCCCCCTTGACTTGAGAGAATTGAGTTGCATAAACTTGCTGAAAATATTGACTGTGTTATTATTCTACACCTGGCACAGAAATTCAATAAGGGCACCAAAACACAAAGTGGAGGAATCATTTCTGTTTTTTCTTTAGCATAGCAAGGTAACTATTGGTTAAGATAATCACTGGTGTATTACAAAATAACTAGAAGAGTACAAAATTCCCAACACATAAACACGATGAATTCTTGAAGAGATGGAAATGCTTATTACCATGATTTCATTTTTACACACAGTATACATGTACTGAGTTACCAGAATGCATCCCATGAAAGTGAATGAGTATGTATCAATTAGAAAAGAGAATACTGTGCTTTAGCTGAGCTGCTTTGTGAAATGTATAAGAAACGGTGAAACACAAATCATTTTGCAGCAAGAATTTCTGACTGAAAGCTAACAAACTTTGGAAATGAGAGCAGAGCTTCTTAACTAAGAGAACAAGTGAGACCAGACTTAAAGGAGTCCACAACATCTCTGGAATACTGTGCAAAACAAAAAGATGGATATATGCATCTGTGCATTGTTCTGGGGGTAGGTTTGTAGCTTTCATTAGAATTTCAAAACGGTCCACAAAGTTCATTCCTACCTCCCTCATTGCAGGGTAGCACCTTTTGTGGTACAGTAAAGGTTTTCTAAATTTCTCTTTGTACTAAAAAGCACTAATAAACACATACACCTGTAGAAACACCAGCAATTTAATATTTTTATGTATCTTAATAAGCTCAGTAATTCCATTGAACATGATTATAAGAAAACATGCAAGAGATTCAGAAACTGTGTTTATTTCTTCTTTGGTACAACCAGAGATGTTACCACAAACCTTTAAAATAAATAATCTCATCAACAAAACTTAGGACTGCCAGGGTATTAAATTCCTCCTTTCCTTTCACATAGAAGAGTTTAAAAGATCAATGGGCTTGGGGTACAGTACATAAATTCAACAGAAACCCAGGCTGACAGCGAAAGCCAACCCAGGACAGAGGGGTCACAGGCTGCACTGCCCTTCCCGGCCCTGGACAGAGCACATCAGTGGGAGTCTTTAGCACCAATCCTACCTGACGCAGTTTCTTCATAGCTACTCTAGTAAGTAATCCTCTAAATAACTGAATCAACAGCCTAGGACATCTAAATTAAAAATAAAAATAACTGCCGCAACTGAGGTAAACAAACGGCTGTTTCTGTTTGTTGGCACAGTGGCCCACAATAGTATGTCACATACATATAGCACACTTAAAGTCCAAGATCCTGGGGAGAGAACTGTATGTTTATTTAAAGAGAATTTAAATTTCTTTTGCTGGTGACTCCCTATCTTCCCTCCAAGGGGAAGGGAAAAGCACCATTAGCACCGAATAGCACCATTGTCCTAACTGACCATCCAAGAGGACCCGTGCAGTCAGGCTGCAGGTCATACAAGGTCAGCTTTGTCCTGGAAGCTCTTCCCCAGGCGTGGTTTCTGCAGCAGCTGTGCTGCCCCACACCACTCACTAATCAGGGCCTTTGCTGAAAGCTCGCTGACCAGCCTGCAGGGTGCAGGAAGCTGGCTCACAGAACCCAGGCGGGCCGGGAGGCCCAGGGGGACCAGGCACACCAGGGATTCCTGCCACTCCTGGGGGCCCGCGCTCGCCGTCCCGGCCATTCCTCCCATAGCTGGCGGGGCCTGGGTCACCTGAAACACAAAAGATCGCAAGGGTGAACAGGAGGCTGCAGACCCACAGCCACGCACTCAGTGTGCCAGGAAAGGGTTAGGAGTGGTGGATGATGGCGCAGAGGAGGAAGCAATCCCGTTATGATACCGGGTTTCATAGGAACTAAAGCAGTAGGGACCTCCAGCATGTATGACCCACGTTCCACCCATGGAGCTGCAGGGTCCATACAGCAGCCCCCAGCCACGTGTGCCGAGGAGGTGCAGTGTGGTCGGGACAGAGACAGGGACATAGTTACAGAACACACCTGGAGTTTGAAGATTCATGGTGAAAACTGTAAAATAATTCGTGGACAAGTTTTACATTTACCATCTAACAAAGTAATAACATTTTGCACCCACTGAAGTGAATAAACTATACAGTAAATCCCTGATTTATAAAGAAGTGATGTGTAAAATATCGGGAAGTCAAAACGCACCTGACCTGCCCAACATCACTGGTTCAGGGGAGAACCTGGCGTCTCCTGCATGACCAGGTGGTGGACAGGGAGCTGTGTCCTGCTGTCTCTGCCCAGCATCTCAGGACCCTACGAGATGGCAGAGTACTAGCCAGGGAGAGATGGACACTCAAAATCTGAACTGTGGTTTCTCCTGGAATGTGTATCACTTTCCTACCATTCTAAAGTCAAAAAAATATTATCTACAACCATCTTACAAGAGATGTAAGATCAAACTGTGCAGTGTATTTAAATTAACATTTTTATTACAATAAGAGACAGTTTGCCTTTAACCCCCCTCAAAATTCTCCCCTTTTCTTCAAACACACTTATCCCATCGCTTTTGCCACTTTCTGAAGCAGTTCTGGAAGTCCTCTTAAGTGAGTATCTTCCTGAGGCGTGACCAAAATATGGTGAATGCTGCTGCCGAGCACAGTTCAAAGGAAAGGCAGGCTCGCTCATAAAAAGAGTACAGTGCCTCTTCATCCACCTTATTCACCAGATCTGGCCCTGTGACTTCTGGCTCTTCCCCAAAGTCAAAATGACCACAAAAGGTAAAGGTTTTTAAATAGATTCAAAACACCAAAGCAGCCATGACGGTGCAACTAAAGACAGGAGAGGAGACTTCCAGAACTGCCTCACAAAGTGCCGAGAATAATGGGATAAGTGTGTTTGAAGCAAAGGGGAGGATTCTGAGGGGGGTTAATGGCAACGTGTCTTTTCCTGTAGTAAATTTTTTAAATGTACACATTTATCGTAGGTTTTTTATCACGCCTCAAGTCAGTGACCATTTGTATTATGAAGCCTAATTCCACCTACTGTTCTTGCCTTTTGAATGTGCTTATTGGACACTTCAAAATCTCACATACCGCACCTGCTTGTGGCTCACACTGTGTGTCTTTTGAGCAGGGCTGCAGCACAGCTGCCCTTATTTCTAAGATGTGATCAACATCCGGATGTGCAGAAGCACAGCTTAACATACTATTTTTTTTAAAAGATAGCATTGATTCGTGTCTTTTAGGTGACTTGCCGTGCACCCTACAAAATTCCATGATAACCTCGTCGGCTTCTTCTCAGTGTGACCTTCTCCACAGCAAGGTAGAGGACACTTCTACATTCCATCACATTCACACATGGCATGCTTTACTCCATGGGGCACCTTCCCGGAGGTCTAGCACCCCATGGCAAAGAGGAATTTATGCCGATTGTCCCCGCACTGTACCCACAATGCTTTCACCATATCACGCAGAAGCAGGGGGAGATGGGGTGGAGCAGGTGACTCCCCCTGGTTGGATCTGACACCTCCAGGGTGGTACTGGGAAGAGTGGGCCTGGGCACAGCCACCTGTCTGTACACAGAGGGCTTGTGCAGTGCCCAGCAGTGCCCAGCAGGGGCAGGGCCACACCCTGGGGAGCATCTGGAAATGTGCTAGGTGTATTGCATTGGCACGGTGACCAGGGTGCTCAGCAGTGCTGGGGGCACACTTGGTAACTCAAACAGTGGGTGGGATCACCCAGCATGGTGAACTGTACCACCTGGGGGAAACAGAGCCCCTTTGAGAAGTAGCAGGGGCCCCTTCTGGTTCCATGGCTGTGATTTGCACTAGATGTGGCCTGGCGCTGAGAGAAGCCACAGCTGGGCTAACACGGATAAGAAACCCACATAAAGCACTCTGGGAAGCCAGATAACAGTAGTATTACAAAGTGCCTCACTCCATCTCAGCCTTCTCAACTTGGCCTGTCTGCCAAAAGCAGAAAGCCAATCAACAGGTTCAATTATACACACATTTGCTTAGGTTTACTTTCCTTCTTTCTCAGAGGTTTTCACTTTCTTTCTCTATTTTAGTGGCCTTATTACATGACTTTTGTTTGTGTTACTAGTGGCCTGGGCCTATTTTATATATCTCCACACATGCAGAGAAAAGTAGGTTAGAAACCCTATTTTTACATATAGGACCTCATTTTTCCTCATGTGCTACACAAATAATGTCACAGAACAAAAACATTATTAAGTTTTAAAGGAGAATGAGTATTTTGAGTTTATCTATCTTGAGGATATTAAGCAGAGATGGAAGTTGTTTTATCCCATAAGCTTTTGTCCAACTGCATTAAGCCTCACAAAGCAGATGCTTACATGTTTTCCTGTATGGAAAAAACCATCTTTCTAACACATAGCATCTAGAGATCAGGCTAATGCAACTCTACCATTAGCAAAGCCAGTTCAAACCCCTTGATGCGTGAGGCAGTGAAAGATTGATTTCTTTTAAGGTTTAAAAGATGGGCCAGATCTAACTGCATATAAAAGGTAATTCTCATGCACTTTTTCAGTAGAAGTGCCCTCCGCCCCAGACATACCAGGTCTGCCTTAAGAAAATCAAACCAGGAGTGGGAGGAGAAAGATGACCATAGCCAAAGAGGCGCTCAAAAACCATTGACCTTAGAGGTTAAAGCAGTTAATGCAGATCAAGTAGACCAACCTTAGCGCACAAGCTAAATGGCTGTATAAATAGTTTAATGAGAACACAGCCGCAGCTGTTTGCTTGCAAATTATCTGTGCCTGCTTTTTTGCTACAGGCAGAGTTGAGTGGCTGGGACAGAGATTATCTGCCACTCAAAGCCAAAAAGATATGGTCCCTTAGAGACTGAGCCTGGCATGATAAGGAAAGCCCTGCAACACCAAATCCCTCACTGTCTTCACCAGAAGAAAACCTACAGTAGGAGGGCAATGAACTCAGTCCCTATTATTCCATGTCAGCATTGAGGAGCAGGAGGGAGAAGCGGGCCTGTGGCGAACTGAAGAGCAGGTGCCGGTAGCATCTGTAACATCTGCCTAACAGCAGCACGGAGAACTGGGGGCTGGTGTTGCCAGAACTTTAGATAATTTTTAAGAGGAGCTGGCTTTTAAGTAAGTAGTTCTTAAGTTTTAAATGTAAGCAACTAATTCCAAACTCTAACATTAGCAGAGAAAGCCCCCTGCCTGAAATGTTAAATTGAAGGACCCTCATTCTGCAATACAAACATTAAACAGCAGAAAGTTTTTTTCTTTAGATTTTCATATTTAGTTTTCCATTTCAACACATTCCAAAAGAATTTTTTTTTAACTTGCTAAATTTATTCCAAATTTCTCCTCTCTTTGAGGGAAGAGTTATGAAGCTAACTTCTTAACCCTTTGATTTATGTCATAAAAAGCATATCAAGTCCAATTCTGTCTTTGGTCAATGCAGCAGTTTACCTTCTGGAGTTCTGGGTGATGTTACCATTTTCATCATTGCTGACCCTTTATAAAATATCCTTTTCCTGTGTGCCACACAGTGCTCATTATTGATCCTGTTTTCTTCCTGGGTAAACTGAGTCAAGAAATTTCCATAACTGTCCTGAGGTGCATGGCTAGAGACTGCTGAAGTTAGAAATAAGAGTCTTAACCACTACTCTAACCAAACTGTATTTCCAAAACTATTGATTTGCCAACTCTGCAGGGTGTGTGTGTGTGTGTGTGTGTGTGTGTGTGTGTGAGATGATATGCAGTTAATTCACTGGGTAAGTTAACTAAGAAACAGAAAGAGATACAATATCTGGGAGTTAAGATTGCTTCTTCCATATCTCTTTCATAAGAAACTTAACATATTCTTAAAGTTTTGTCCTGTAGAAATGCCAGAGAAACAACAACCCTACTGTAAGAGATTATTAGCTTCTGGTGAGTCCCAACCTAAGGCATCTGCTCTGAAAGATGGTCTAAACTTGCTGTGTGCGAGCCTTATTTTGGGTGACACTGTTTCACAGAAGTTGTTCAAGAAGTGAAGTGCTCACACACACCTTTAGTCCCAGATCTCAAGAAGCTGAGCCAGGAGGATCACAAGTTCTAGCCCAACCTGGGCAACTTAGCCAGACACTGTCTAAAGATAATTTTGGTTTTTTTGGTACCATGGATCAAACTCAGGACCTTGCACTTGTGAGGCAGGCAGCGGCACCACTGAGCTAAATCCTTGGTGCCTAAAGATAATTTTTTTTTAAATCTGGGATAGTAGCTTAGTGTTAGAGCACTTGCTTAGCAGGTGTGAAGCCCTGGGTTCTATCCTCAGCATATGCACACGCATGCACAACACATACACACACACACGATGTACTTTGCATCTCTGAAGAAGAGAGAGAACAGGCGTGAAACTTTCTTATTCTGCTTGGCTGCATCATACGTGTGTCTGCTACACTAACTGCCTAAGGATTACACAGGTTTCTGAAATGTCAAGGACCTATACAAAGGCCGTTGCCTAACATTTCATGATTTCAAAAAGTACCCCTGTCATTCTCTGTGTGAACAGCAGAGGGCAGCCACGTCACGCTGATGGAGGCCAATCCTGCCCGGCACTTTGAAAGAGGTCTGTTGCAGCTGCCTCCACGTCCTGAATTGATTCAAAACATTAATATTTCGTGGTCATCTTGGTTTTCGGGAAGAGCCAGGAGTCACACAATGCCAGATCAGGTGTATAAGGTGAATGAGGTATACCTTAATATTTTACACGCCTGCCTTTTA